ATTTGCCCTTGCATGCAGGTAGTTTTGGTACTTCCATATACTCATGGATCACCAGGAAAACACCTGCAGATCAATGCTTCCATATCCCCACGGATCACCAGGAAAACACCTGCAGATCATTAACTGGACAGGAGGGAACCGCTGCTACAGCGGCCACCCTTTGCTCCGCCAGGTCTGGCTTGTTTATTAAGGCTTGGTCTTCACCCAGCTCAGCTCCCTCCTGTTCACTCCTGGCACTGTCTGCAGCCACCTCTCTAAAAGGGAGGTTCAGCCTGGCAAAGCTTATTTTACTGGACACAGAGCCTCCCACAAAAAACATATCCCTCTGTCTTGCAGCCCTTAGATGCAAAACCACAGGCTGATGTAATTTCTGAGGTTAAGTTGGTGCTAATGTCATGTCCAAGGGGAACATACAGATACCCAGAAAAACCAGTGTCAGAACTGGAAAATTGCCACCAAACAGATAGCTCACGAGGAGACAGAGTTTGCTTCCTCCACAGTCAGTGTCAGAACTGGAAAACTGCCACCAGATAGCTCATGAGGAGACAGAGTTTGCTTCCTCCACAGAAAGGGATGAACTTATCCATGTGGAATGGGTTAGAAATGGAGCTGCAGCAGGGCAAAGGCAGCACAGGCTGCAAAGCTTTGTTGGGCACATAACTGCAGACTTGTAAAGCAAATTGGGATTCCACGAGATTCAAGATGCCCCGTAACACTCCAGATTCATAGGGATCCGGTTTGTCTTTGTGGGAGCAAGAGCAAGCAGAGAGACACGTCTGCACCCTATGGAGTTTACATCTGCTTTACTTCAAGCAGCAGAGCCAACTCCCTGCCAAGGGCCCTTGTACAAGATCAGCCAACTGGACCATCCCTTCAAGCTACTCACTTGCCATCATCGTCTCCGTGCCCAAGTTCAAAGATGCGCTGAGCTCCTAGCTCCTCCAATCTCTTGTCCACGTACTTTCCCATAGCATTGAAGTGCTCGTAAGTCTTGTTCCCCAGCCCAAACACCTGGAAGAAAACATTGATCAATGTGGATACTCGAGAACCGGGCTTCTCTGCTCCTCTAATCAGCAGCACATAGCAAAAGATGCTGAAGAAAGAGCCTGCAAGAAATGGATTAAAATTCCCTCAATCCTCATCAGCGATTTGGGAAGTTTCTTGGCAAGAACTTACTACTGAGTTTGCACAAGAGTTCCAAGACAGTGTCTAGTCACCACCTCCCACGAGGCAGAACTCATATATCAACAAGATGCACATACAAGAACCGCCTGCACCGTCTCTCCCAAGAACCAAAAAGTATCTGAACTCCCTGAACACCAGTTGCTGACCCTTTCCTCTGAAAAAACACTCAATAAATGTTTGCTGTTTGTGTTAGAGCAAGCAGCTCGGCATTTCCAGCAGTGGGTTTTCTCCTCATTTGCAATTGTGATGCTGCCTAAGGAATTTGGCTGGGATTTAGGTGAGGTGGCTGTATGTCAGCCAATTATTCAATTCAGCACAGAAAAAAAGCTGCAAGCTCCAAGGGATTTAATTTATGGAAGAAGATCTGGCCAAGGGCTGCTCAATTAGCTTGTGAACAGCAGCAGCAGCCTGTAACTCATTTAGAGGCCTCACATTTAAAGTCTGCTGGGCTGTCTGTGGCAAAACAACACCAGCAAATCCTTATGATTTAGGGAGTGGAGAGAGCACTCCAACAGCTGTATCTAAAGCCCCCAGACACGTCTGCAAACATCCATGCAGCTTGTACAGGAAGACAACAGGGACTGTATCCAACACAGCCATACAAGGCACACACACCACGTTGGGCCTTTACCCAAGTCGAACTTAAGCATGGTGGAAGGCTTCGACCTTCCTGCCCAAACGCAGCCTAAGCCAGAACCAAGCAGCTTACCGCAAACCGGAGACCCGACAAGTCCGCATCGGTCTCCTGCAGCCAGTCGTAGAAGTCTTGGGCATTGTCCGTAGGATCTCCCTCCCCGTACGTGGCCATGCAGAACACTGCTAAGGACTTGTCAATCTCAGAGAGGCGACTCAGGTCAGACTGGAAACAGAGCAAAGAATAATCTCAGGGATCCCAGAACATGGTTATCAAGCAAGCCTGATCCCACACCACCGGTGTGCGCAACAGCACTGCATAACATCGAGCGGACAGTTATCAAAGGAAGTGGGAAAGGACCAACCCACCTGGAATGGCAAGAGAAACAAAGCTAACCAACCTCTCTAGACTGTGAGAAAAAGCAACGGGATTTTCTAACATGCTTTAAGGGACCATAGTCAGTGTTTACTCCATAAAACACCATGACAGAATTTGTCAGTGCCTCTATTTAAGGTGATTGCAGTGGTCCGAGACCAGTACTAACTGGAGAAGGAATATAGAGCAAGCAGCATGCATGCAGATGACTTGTGATTCCCAAACAACCTAGACTGTTTCATTGTAATTGATGAGAATTTCATTGCATCTCTTCTTCTCTTGCATTGCAATGCTCACCTCAAATACATAACCTGGCAAGGGCTTAGCCCATCTCTGTGGGTCTCAAACTGATCTAATTTCCTCTCCTCTAAAGTTTCATGCTAGAGCATCCTGGAGGATATTCCTACTGCAGTATTACTCTGAGGAACAGTGATACTCTGGGATACCAGAGTATAACCCTTGACCAGGCTAATTTGTTTTTTATAGGGGACACCAAAAGAATATTACTTATCCCAAGGACGCATTCACAGCTAATTTACCAAGTCATACTCCTCTGGATCAGCTGCCATGCCCCGGAGGCCGTAGCGATGAGCATCTTTGGAGAGGCGATTGGCAAACTCCTCTGCTGTACCCGTCTGGGAACCATAGAAAACCACAATGTTCCGCCCCTGGAAAAAAGGAAGAAATCCCTGTTAAACGGTGATTACTCATTTGGTAGAAATACCTGGAGAAAGCACATCTTGTCAAAGGCAAAGGAAATGCCTGGGAACAGACTGGCTGGCAACTGACTGGCAACTTAAAGGCAACTAGCCTACATTTGTATGGAGATTCACACTGGGTTTGCAGCAGAAAACCCAAGGCTGAGCTGTTACCATGACCACATTACAGAGTGACTCCTGGAAATAAGGAATTTCCTGGACGAGGAGTTAGACTTCCAGAGGCCTTGGGGAGTGCCTAGCACAAGAGCTTCCACTCTGCAGTAAGCCAACTTTTTCAAAGCAAAATGGAAAATACACCCAGCCCTCACTTTTCCTCTGCTTTGTATCCAGTTCAGCAGAGCCAGAGGCCGCCATTCTGCGTACAACACAATTCCCATTCCAGAGTAAGCATTTGGGAACCAAATGCAGGTAAGAGCTGCCAGCCAAAGTCTTTAAAGCCTCTGCCATTTTGCTCCTGACTTTGAGGTCATATTACCCATTTCCACCACAATCTCCCTCTATCATTAGCATTTGCTTTAAGAACAACTTTCAGGCACAGACTGCTGAAAGCCACTCCTACCTCCACACACAACCTTCCTCCAGATGCTCTCTGCAGCAGGCTCACCTCCATGTCCAAGCAGCTCCCTCCTGCTAAGAGCTAGTTGGTAACCAGAGGAAACCAGGAAGGACAAGAGATCCATCACCCACCCCAGTCTTTCAGAGCGAGACGCTTACCGTCTTCTTCATCTTCTCAATGAAGCTGCTGTCTCTCACTGGAGATGCTCTGGAAGACAAGAGGAACCTCCTTTCAGATGAATATATTCATTGATAGGAATAGGCAAGTGAGGGGGAAAAAAAAGTGACCACCCCAAAATGTATCAGATCTCAGGAAGGCTGCCTGAAGTGGTGCGAAGTCCATTAAATGCAGAGCAAATTTATCCTGTTCCAACAGGCTCCCAGAGGCCTAGAAAACAAAACCACCCACAACAGTAAATCTCTGTTCTTGACAAGGAAGAGCTTGAAGACACAACCGTACCAACAACCCCCGCTGCCATCAGCCTTGCAGTAGGTCACAGTGCACCTTCCCATTGGGATCCTGAAAGGGCTGCTCTTGAAGGCAGACGGAGCTTAAAGAGGAACCAGCTGCTTAAAACGGCCACCCCAGAGCCTGTCAGACAAGAGCCCCAGAACCGGAGCGCCCCAGGGAGCGGACGGACACACGGAGACTCCCTGCGGCTCCGGCAGGACGACTGCTGCCCTCGGAGGTCTCGCAGGCCTCGTTCCCACACTGGGATTTCTGCCTCCGCAGAGCTTCTCTGGCACAAAGTGCGTTTGCATTATGGGATGGAGGCGGCTTTCGCTGCTTCAGAAGAGGAATAAACCACACCAGGGCCACAATCATCCAGCCAGAGATTCACCCTCTTTCAGCTACTCCATGAGGTAGGGAGCCAAGGGAATTAAGAGCTTAATTACCCTAACCACACTCGTGTTTTTTTAGTCACGCTGCAAAAGCAGCTGAGCCCTGGCAGTGATCGGGGCAGCACAGGACCCTCCACAGGCCCCACAGGCAGAGGTGGCTCTAGCTGCAGTCACATTAGACACCGGGGTCTTTTCAAGGCAGGAGGACAAGTGCCAGGAGCTCATTTGCTCTCTTCCCCACCGAAGCTTCAGTACCAGAGAGGAACGTGGGATCTATTCCCATTGCTCTTTCACAATGGAAGAATGCAAAGCTGGGTCTCCTGTGGGAAGAGAGAAGCCTCTAGGCAAAAATTTAAAAAAATAAAAGAAAAAAATGTAAAAAGAAACAACAAATGGTTTTGGCTCTGGCCCACACAAGAATGTGCAGAGCTCACTAACAGTTTCCTAAACTCTGCAGCTCAGAGGGAGGGATTTCAGAGAATGTGCCGAGACATTTGCAGAGCCCACAGACAGAGGAGGAGGGCAGGGGACCACCAGCAGGACATCTCTTGGAGCACCCCTTTCTACCCACACATAACAAGGGGCTCCACAACCAAGCCTGACAGCTCTGAGCACCCATGTAAATCCTTGGAGTACCGGTGAAGAGCTCCCAGAAAGCTTCCCAAGGGAGATGTGCTCTCAGGAAAAACAAGCAGGGCACAAAGCAGCTCAACAGCCTCCCTGGGGTGGGATCCACCCTGTACCAGCAACATCAGGAGCAGCTTTTGGGGAGCAGCCCTCGCCCTGCCCATGTTACCACCCAAACGGGGGCTCCGGCTCACCAGACCAAGCTGCTCTCGCTTAGTTTTACCCTTAGCTTTGCCCCCATGGTGAACCTATTTGACTGCCCTCTGCTAATTATATCTAATTAGAATGGCTGTTGGGTCACTTGCTGAAAAAAAAAAAATAAACTGAAAAAAAAATCAGTTTCTTAGGGCCTTTCAATAAGCTCCTTTTGAAAGGGAAATCATGCAGATGGAGTTAGTCTGCATTTTCAAAGGAAGCAACGTAGCATTACGTTGAGGCAAAGAACAACACTCTACAGCTCACACAACAGAAATAATGAGTCTGGCTTCAGAAAAGGAGAAAGAAAAAAAAGGAAAAAAAAGCTACACAGCTCCCAAACACCCTTATCACGATCGCTTCTGGCGAGACGAAGCCGTAAGCATGTGGATGCTGACGACAGGAACGACGCTGCCTTGGACAGGGACAGCTCGCGCGGCTTCGGGAGCGCAGGTGACACGTGGCAGAGCGCAACAGGCGGAATGATG